ATATATATATTCTGTAACTTCTGTCGGTGCTGTGCTTTTTGGAAATCGAATTTCCCAGAGGAACCCACCCGAGGGATTAATAAAGTTCTAGCTTATCTTATCTTAAAATTAAAATGAAACAGAATAGCTAAGCTTCAAAAGATGTGTTTTAAGGCTGGCTTTAGAGATAGGGAACGACTCAATATTGTGAATGTGGTGCGGGAGAGAGCTCCAAGGACAAGGGGCCACTTGGCGGAAAGCTCTAATGCCCAGAGTGGTCGGGCGAGGAGTAACTCCAAGTGTGAATGAGTGGCAATGTGCAGAAGGTCAGAGAGAGATGGAGGTCCGAGGTTATGGAGAAACTTGTGATCTTATGTTAAATAATGTTTTGTGTTCTTTTGCACGTTGTACAAGTCAGCTGTTCCATATAAACATATTAGAGGATTATATGGTGGAATAGTTTCTCTTCTAAAATTCCCTCTATTAATCACTTATCCCAACTGACCTGAAGTGAAAATTAATTTTGGATAATCATGAAGCCTACAATGCAATAACACACCTTGCTAACATATGCAGAACCTTAAACATTCGTAATCTTAAGCCATTCATATGAAAGCCAAAAGACATTACTATAGTTGCACTAGGTCCTCATTTACATCAAGTGTAAATACCTTGGCTGCAATACATCATGTCAGGCTTCACTCTCTGGTAGACAAAGTTTGACACATAAACGTTATCTACTATCAAAAATAAAAGAGTAAATAACATACACAAGTCAAGATTAACCCTGTGACAGACTGGCGACCTGTCCAGGGTGTACCCTGCCTCTCGCCCTATGACAGCTGGATTAGGCTCCAGTGACCCTGAAAAGAATAAGCAGAAGGGAATGGATGGATGAATGGATGAAATCAGGATTAAGACATGACGCAGCAATAAAGAAACATGGAGACACGACAAACTGGTGAGACAGAATTGGATCACAAAAGATGATAACTAAAGATTATGTGACTGAATGAGGAACACAGACTGGAAACACAGGGGAGCAAGCACTGAAAGGACAAAGGACATCAAATTACAAAATCAAAAAAACACGAGCTCGCAGAAAACTCAAAACATCCCAAAACTCAAAAAAACTGAAATACCCAGGACCATGAAACATTATTTGAGTGTTATTGTTGTTATCAGGAAAATACGAGAGAGAGACAGGGAGAGAGAGAGCACTATCACAATATTATATATACCGGTAATATTAACATAAATCCGCTCTTTCTAAAAAAGGTCATTTGAATATGTTACTTGGGGTCATACCTGAGGAAAAACACATGACCTATTTTAGACTGCTTTTAACGATATTTGTGTCTTACAAATGTGAAGCTGCATATAAAATATCAGTCTAATCCTGCCTGGAAAACTGTGTTTTTACAGGTCTCCATATCTGCTGTCGGACATCTCGACCGGACATCCAAATACTTGAAGCATCATCACTATTTTCTAATTTGAGCTCAGTATAGGCATAGTACCAGGTGCTAAGCCTCTTACAGTCTGAAGAAGGATGATAATATTTAGTAAGGGGTTAACTCAACCCGACTGCTGTCAGATAGAAATATATTGTATGGACAAATGTGACACTGACATAATTAATGTGGAAAAGTTATTTGTAAATGTAGCGGAAGTTAAAATGCAGCCTTTCCTTTGAAATATAGAATTTTAGTTGTTGTTCGATGGCATCATCTGAAATGAGTGATGGTCTTATAAATAGTGGAGGTGAACGTGTGGACGACAGCAGGTTTCTGGGGGTTCTTGATGCTCTAAACCTACACAGTAAAATACTGCTGTGATTTATGACATTACAGCTATTCTGGAACGCTGAATCACAGCACGCTCATTGTTGTTCCAAACTTGTGATTCAAGGAGCTGCGTGGTGAAGTGTGGCAGTACTCCAGTAGCCTGATGTGCTTTCTGAACGGCCGTCTCCTCGGTGATGAAAAGGATCTCGCCAGCTGGGCCAAGAATCAGTGGGGTTTCACTTTCACCCAGCCGCAAGCTTTCTACACGACTCTTGCTGAGGAGTACTACATCGAACACCTCCAGAAAACTGGGGCAAGTCACGCAAACACTGTCACTTAAATATCCA